GCTGGCTCTGCGAGCTTCTGGGGGTGGAAGCTCTCCTGCAGCCCCCCAATTGCCCCTCTCCCCAGATGGCAGCCTGCGGCAAGTGCAGCCAGTCTGATGGCCGAGTGCTGTGATGTGCCCAGTGTGAGCACTCAGGGCACTCCAAGCCAGGACTGCTTTGCAAGCGGGGCACCCCTGAGAACTGTCTGTCCGGGGTGGGGGTCGGGACCCTTTAAGCACAGCCCTCGGCTAGCCTGAGGCAGCAGCTCCACACTCTAAGTCCTCATCTGATGCCCTGCCGGCACTGCTTCCGGCCATCCTTAACCCCGGTTCAGGGTCCACTCTGTGTGGACATGCTAGTTCGAATTAGCTTAGTTCGAATTAACTAATTCGAACTAAGTTAGTTCGAATTAGCGCTGTAGTGTAGACATACCCTAGGAGTTTTGGTAGCATGGGGTGCGAGGAGAGAGTCAATATAGCCAGATAATCCTGTTTGAGGTGTGCCAATGCTTGAGATGATGGGTCATCCTGGATTTTCAGTTTTGTGTATCTTGGGTAGCAGATAGAAAACTCCTGATTTGGGAGGGGGGGCAGTGGCGGGTGTTAGTGTAAATTTGGTCATGAGCATCAGGGAGTTTCATGAGCAGTCGTATTAGGATTTTTTTGGTGTTTTTTAGTGGAACCACAGGAGAGAATCTTGTAGAATCTGGTGGTGGTGAGTTGTCTGGTAACCTCCTGTTTATAATCTGTTCTGTTTATGATGATTATAGCACTCCGTTTGTCAGCCTACTAGACTATTCATTGTTTTTTAAGTTTATATAATCATTAGGATTTCTAACAGTTACACGGTTCCTGTTTTTAAAGATTTTTTTTTTCATATCCTTAAGATAGATAATGCGCTTCAGAGAAAATAAAATCAGGTCATGTAATATGTGGAACAAAGTTTTAATGGATGCGTATTATACACTCACATACATACATATATGCACGTTTTTAATTTTGCAGAACATTCTCAGTGCCATGAGGGACCTGGTGAAGCACAGAACAACTGTTTTCATTGCACACAGATTATCAACAGTAATTGATGCAGATGAAATACTTGTCCTGGATCAGGTGAGAGATTATCATGTTATATAATGCAGCTTTGACATGTGAGTGTTTTAGTGAATTGTGTGTTTGAAATCTACGGATTATTTGTGAGAATACAGAACTAAATTGCCTTTGAAAATGAACTGTGCCTGAAAAATCTATTCCAAGTTATAGTAATTTTTCTTGCAACATATACAATGTATCAATGACAGAAATTTGGTGTATCTGCACGTGTGCTTCTGCTTTTAAATGTTGTAGTGTGCTTGCATACCTTTTAACTACATGTAGTTACTAGTATTTCAGGTGGATTACAGTAAATGTTAGGTGACCAGAGTGACTTACCGGGGACATCCTTGGTGAGCTTAAACACTAAAAGGAAGCTTACAAGAAGTGGAACTTGGACAGATGACTAGGGAGGAATATAAATATGTTGCTCGAGAGTGCAGGAGAGTTATCAGGAAGGCGAAAGTGCAATTGGAATTGCAGCTAGCTAGGGTTGTGAAGGATAACAAGAAAGGTTTCTACAGACATGTTAGCAATAAGAGGGTGATCAGAGAGGGTCTGGGGCCCTTACTGGATGAGGAAGGTGACCTAGTATCAGATGATGTGGGAAAAGCTGAAGTACTCAATGCTTTCTTTGCCTCTGTCTTCATGGACACGGTCAGCTCCCAGACAAATGTACTAGGCAATGCAGCATGGGAAGGAGGTGGACAGCCCTTGATGGGGAAAGAACAAGTTAGAAACTATTTAGAAAAGCTAAACCTACACAAATCCATCACTGAAGTCAGAAGGGAGTGGGGAAGAGGCATGAAAGGGAAGGCTGAAAACAATGAGGTTTGGTTGCTTTATTCCTCTTTGTGTTGCTGCATGTATGTGTGCCCTTCTGACTGCTCTGAAAACGGTTTCTTCTTTGAAACCAGCTAGATGAAAACAAAGTGTAAGTCTACCCTGTTTTAATTTATTTTGCTTTGTTAGAGCTTGGTAGCAATTAAATTTTGCCATGTCGCCTCACTTTCCTCTGGATAACGTTCTTTATAATAGCAACAATACCTTGCAAATGTCAGGCAGCCTGGCCCAATCACAATGTGCTGCAACACAGAAGCACATTATAGCTCTGTAAGATGTGATATACCTCGACTTAAGCAAAACTTTTGATACCGTTTCCCACAATATTCTTGCCAGCAAGTTAAGGGAATATGAATTGGATAAATGGACTGTAAGATGGATAGAAAGCTGGCTAGACTGTCGGGCTAAGCAGGTAGTGATCAACGGCTCGATGTCAGGTTGACGGTCGGTTTCTAGCAGAGTGTCCCAAGGATCTGTTCTACGACCAGTTTTGTTCAACATCTTTGTTAATGACCTGGATGAGGGGATGGGTGGCAAGTTCATGGATGACACTAAGCTAGGGGGAGAGGTATATACACTGGAGGGCAGGGATAGGGTCCAGAGTGACCTGGACAGATTAGAGGATTGGGCCAAAAGAAATCTGATGAGGTTCAACAAGGACAAGTGTACAGTCCTGCACCTGGGATGGAAGAATCCCAAGCATTGTTACAGGCTGGGGACCAAATGGCTAAGTAGCAGTTCTGCAGAAAAGGACCTGGGAATTACAGTGGTTGAGAAGCTGGATATGCGTCAACAGTGTGCTCTTGTAGCCAAGAAGGCTAATGGCATATTGGGGTGCATTAGGAGAGGCATTGCCAGCAGATCCAGAGAAGTGATTATTCCCCTTTATTTCACTCTGGTGAGGCCACATCTAGAGTATTGTGTCCGGGTCTGGGCCCCCCACTATAGAAAGGATGTGGACGCATTGGAGGAGGGTCCAGCAGAGGGCGACCAAACTGATTAGGGGGCTGGAGTCCATGACCTATTAGCAGGGCTTGCCAAGCAGCAGCAAGCCCCGCTCACCAGCCACGTGGTTCTGCGAGCTGCGCATGTGCAGATCGCATGGCGCTGGCTATGCCGGCTTGTAATCTACTCACCACGAGCGAGTAGATTACATGATTTGTCGAGCCCTACCTATGAGGAGAGACTGAGGGATTTGGGTTTGTTTAGTCTGCAGAAGAGAAGAGTGAGAGGGGATTTGATAGCAGCCTTCAACTTCCTGAAGGGAGGTTCCAAAGAGGATGGAGAAAGGCTGTTCACAGTAGTAACGGATGGCAGAACAAGAAGCAATGGTGTCAAGTTACAGTGGCAGAGGTCTAGGTTGGAGATTAGGAAAAACTATTTCACTAGGAGAGTGGTGAAGCACTGGAATGGGTTACCTAAGGAGGTGGTGGAATCTCCATCCTTAGAGGTTTTTACATCTCAGCTTGACAAAACCCTGGCTGGATTGATTTAGTTGAGATTGGTCCTGCCTTGGGCAGGGGGCTGGACTTGATGACCTCCTGAGGTCTCTTCCGCCTCTATGATTTAAATTAGCTACACTGGGCAATCTGATGCTTAAGGTAGTATACAATTTACCTCTATTGTGGATTTCTGTCATGCTAATTCCTAATATGGTCCCCCAATTTATATTTCATTTTCCTCACCCAATGAGAGTGACTGTTTTTCAGATATAGCCATTGTTTCTCACTTTCAACAGAAAAGATAAGGTAGCATGCTCTGTGTTTCTGCAGATATAATTGTTGCATGATTGTTCAGTCTAATTACAGTAGAAATCTGAGCACCACTCTCCTATTGTGGACAATAGCTCTAGAAAATTGTAATTATTCCCTCTGCTTTTCTCTCCACCCCTAAAAAGAGACCTTTTCAATATTTGATTAATATCTCTGTTCAGCCATCACCTCATACTCAATTTATTCTGTTACTCAGATTTTAACACAGAGGAAGGTGGACAAAGTTAAAATAAGTGATCTCTATTGACACTATTTTAATAGCTTTTTTTAACTCAGTAGATATTAGTGATGTAGATTTAGTGTACTGATTATGGATCTTCTTAAATTTGTTAAATTTAATAGTGTGTGCTCTTCAACTGTTTTATTTGCTATTCATTTGCTTGCATCCATTGAAATCTTCAGTGATTAAAATATTAAAATGTATATATCTAAAAGAAAGCAAATTTCTTTGGTATGTTAAATGATTGCTGGAATTTCTTAACAAGAAACTTTCTAAGTGAGTTAATGGTATTGCTCAATATCATTGAAATTCAGGTGGCAGAGACAAAATTAGATAATGGACTAAACTTGCTTCCCACCTGTCTGCTGTTTGCTGCTTTTGCTAAGCAGTCAAATAGCATATGTTCATGTGCCTCTACTTTTCTATAAAAAGTCATACCTAGCACAACATTTAGTGTGGTTTATAATAATATGTAATGAGCCAATCTGTGAATAACATAACATCACAACACAGTAAGAGTGTTTTATATTATACTACGTATAATTGTTGGATTTAAAAAGAAGCACAATTAAACTAATTCATTAGTGTTAGCTGAACATCTGGGATGCTTAGGTTCATCAATTGTCTTGCTTTTCCAAGCTCCTGCTTCAGTAGAGACTGAATGATGTGCTCGGTCAGGTAACAGATGCATCATTCCCCGCTGGCAAGCTGGTTCATGAAACACGGTTGACGCATGTGTGCAGGGTACAATAGTGGCAGCCAATTAAATAAGGATCAGGAAAGGAAAAGGAGCTGGAAAATTGTGTAACAGCTTTGCTGTCTCATGTAAATATTACATCACAGGTTTTAGTATTTTCTGCTTATATTAATCAAAATAACACATTTCTAGCTTTTAATAAGAGAGCTTAATTTTTGGATCCATGGGGTGTACTTGCAGAGAAGATGTCAAGATAAAGGCTTTGTGATTATTTTCTTCAATTTTCACACACACACACACACACACCCTAGTTCTCAGCTTTAGTTGAATATTCAAACAAAGAAGCTATTGAGGCCGTATCAAATCACAAGGGTTGAGCCAAATGAACTTAAAAAATTGGTTTAAAACCACATTTAATTATGCAAATGCTTATGTGGACATTGTTATTTTTGGCTTAAGAATCACTTAATTCGGTTTAGCATAAATCCATTCTTAGTGATCTTAAACTAAGTCAAGATAGGGCAGATGGTTTTGAAGCATCCATATATGCCTTTGCATTGGTTTAATAATGATAATAAATCCTAGTCTTAAAATAGGTTTAGCACATGTAAAAAGTTGTACCTTTAGTTTAAACTGGTGAAACTTTTATGTACCAAGACACGAACTTTGCCCAGCTGAAACCTGAGGACTGCATCTAATTTTTATAACCCAGAAGCAACAGCAGCTCTCTGTGGAGACCGAGTTCCTCTGTGAGCTTGTCCCTGTAGATTTCACCTCCATATTAATGAGAAGGATTTCTGTGAACTACACTGTGAAACTGTCTGGGCCATGCTTTTGTCACCTTCGTACTCCAGAGAGCTCATAGTGATTGAATGTTAACTTTATATATGTTTTACAGGGTAAAGTTGCTGAGCGTGGGAGCCATTTAGAGCTTCTTGCCAATCCCAGCAGTCTCTACTATGAGATGTGGCACACACAAAGCAGCAGAATACTAAATAGTAATAACAACCAAAAATGGGAAGAGAGAAATAATCATATGTCCAAAGAAGAGGAAAGGAAGAAACTTCAAGAGGAAATTATCAACAGTGTGAAGGGCTGTGGAAATTGTTCATGCTAAGTGTGTGATGCAGGATTACATTTCTGCTCCTGGTTAAAGGATGATACAAGACTGCACTGAAGACAGCTCTGGTTTAAAAACATAAAAAATTCAGACATTTCCTGGTGGGTTTCAGGTGTTTTGCAGTATCTCAGCGCAGCATAACTTCTTTAACCAAAGGATTTATTTCTACATCTGTCCGATTTTTGAATATTTAATGAGGTGTGTGAGAGCTTTTGAAAAACTCTCACTTTATTGCAGATTAACAATGCATATTTTAAGGCAGTTGAAGATGTTTATACATTTCATTGGCAATCACTTGTCAGGTGATATAGATCATTTCAGCTGGCAAAGATGGAATTGTTTCAACTGCATTATTAAGCAGTATAAAGACTAGTTTGATTTCCACCATTGGCTGGTAAAGATGTTTTATATTTTTAATGTGATTCTGTTAACTTGAATTTGTATGCTAAAAAGTAAGATGTACTTAGTTATTAAATGATTCCCTGGATTAAAATTATGTTTCCTTTTTAAGAGCAACAAAGCAAAATACCTCTAGTTAGCAACCTCAAATTTGACATTCCTTCAAAACAACTTTGTATTTTCCTGTCTGGAAAACTTCATAATTGTTCCATTAAAGAGGAAATAATATGTATTTTAAGCACTATTTAAAATCCCTAATTAACAGAATATAATTTGACATAACATAAATGTTATAATGCAAAACATAAAATACAGCTTCCCATTTATTTACTTGCCAAGACGAGAGTTCAAGGTACTATCTTTGACATACATTGTAAGACAACTCCATTCAACTTTATTTCAAGCATGATGCTAGGGAACTATTGAAGTTCAGTTAGGCTAGCTTGTGAAAGAATGGTACATAATTTTACATGGTTATGTGAAAAATGAACCAAAATATTGTTAGAGCTACTGTCCTAATAACCGTATAGGCTTCTGTACCCAAAGCATAATCCTACAACATTCTGAGAAATCCCTCTGCTGCTTGCAAGACCTCATGTGACTGGGCCCTAAGATTGTATCTGCATGGGGAAATGTATAGGTATAACGTTACCTTCATATTCTAATTTCATCCTCATACAATTCTCTGTGTGGACACTGCTATCCAGACTAGAGATACTTTTTTCTGGTTTAACTACTGTTACTAGCAGAATAAATGTGCCCACAAGGGACATCATGCATATTTTTAGTATAATTATGCTGGTCAATTTCCCTCTATAGATAAGCCCTTAGTTATTAACTATTGGAGAAGAATCTTGGATGTTGAACTCAAGTCTTGGAAGTAAACTGTTTCAGGTCACCTGTTAAGATTTGTAAAGGTATACACTTCCTAATAAAACAAGAAAGTAAACTTCTTCCAAATGAGTAAGATAAGAAAAAGGACAAGATCTAAGACAGAATTTTCAGCTTTCGCTAATTTGGTTGCCTGACTTGTGCTTGATTTTTTTTTTTTAAGTTAATGGAAGCTGCAAGTCCTCTTCACTTGTGAAAATTGGGCATGTGGGTGCCTCCATATGGACACCCAGGAATTGAAGAACCCAAAGTTATTGAACACATATTTGAAATGCAGCTGCAAATGTAAATTATTTACTTGTTTTAATTTTGTAACTTTCCTTTTAGCTGAACCTGTCATAAAGTTATCTACAAAAACTTGTCAAATTAAAGGAGGCTGAGTTTTTGATTTCTTCTTTGTTGGCTAGTCTCCTTCTCTCTATTAAAATTATGTAGGAGAAAAATAATCTGTGCCAATACATAACATATCTTCAATAATTACTGTAAAAAGAATGCCAGAATACAAAGATGAATGACCTTCAGTCTTGAAGTGCAGAAGCAAGATAAAATCATGTTAATCTATGGCAACAGTTCAAATATCTGTTTATAGCTGCCTCCCTTTGTTTTTCCCTAACAGAATGTCTCCTATTTAAATTTGTTTTAGCAATGCAAAGATGACAAACAATATAATAATCTCTACTACCAGAACAAGTTTGATAAAAGTCCCTTTTGAGACTTTTTTCCTTTCATGTATGATGTAACTTCAAATAACTCAACTAGATTTTTGTTAAATTAAATACCTTATATCTGCTGCTATGTGTACTGAATTATGTACAAAAGCTATATTTAATAACATTTCAATTTTCTTAAACATTTTGTAACTTTGACACATTACTTGACATTTTACATGTTTTAGTGATTGCTATCTGAATGCAATTGTGGTGACAAGTTTTTCTGAATAGACAATTGCGTACATATTAACAGGCTTATATATTCTGTTCATTGCCTAAAAACAGATCTAACACTAGCAGTATGTTGAAAGTAATCTGAAACAGATCAGTAATTCCTTTGCTAGAATACATGATACAGTAGGCCTGCTTTGGCAGCAAGGTGCTGAAATGAAACTAAAGCATCTTAATTGCAAAAAAGTTTTTTCTGTGTACAGTGTACTTCAGAGCATTCATGTTTCTGCTATTGTAGGAGAGGGTCATCTTTTTAGCCAACACACATCGCATCATCAGTTTTGGAGAGGTCGGGGAATGAAGGATATTGGGAAAGCTTCTATACTGACCATAATAATGAGATTTTCCCCCCATATCCTATATATTTTTCTAGAACTAAAAGAGAAGATAATTGTTGGAAGTCAGGATAGTTACAAATGGACTTTGTTTTGACACTGCTACAGCTCTGCCAAACTCCATCAAAGATATGGGAGATTGAAATAAGTATTATGTCTTGCCTTGTGAGGCAAAATAATACCAGCACTTCACTTACTGATCTTCATGTTTGTTAGAGATGTAAAATTTTGGCTCTGAATTTGTTAGGCTTAGATTTGTGTGTTCATATGTCATGCATTTTCACAGGCTATTCTCTAAATAGGCATTTTGAGGACTTCCTGACCTGGAGGAATGCAGCTTAGCAGGACTTGAAAAAGTAGAAGTGTGCAAAGTTTTGGGGAAGGGAATGTTGTGTTTAGAATCCCTTATTTATGGTCTCTGATGAGAAAATCATTTTGAAATCCTCTCGTGGTTGCTGAGAACAGCTGTAGACACTGTTAACATTAGGGTAGCAGAACTAATACAGCACTGTTCTGAAACGACATATTTACATAATATTTGGAAGTCTCGTGAACTGGGAGCAGGTCCACGAGATTAAATCAGCCTTCTATAGTTATAAAACCAAAGCTTGCCATGCTAGAGTGAAGAAGTCTGGACTAAGTAATGCCATTTAAATCCATTTTTTGTTTCAGGAAGTATTTACACCTTTCTAATTCTTGTGTTAATTATTTCTTTACATGTATACTTGTTTGAGATGCATATCCTAATTGATTAAAATTACTGCTTCTCAAAGCAAGTATCAGTCTAACGGCTCTAAACATCTTGAGTTTAGATTTATTTATTTTTATTCCCAGCAAAAACTGTCTGTACCCAGAATATAAGGATAAAGACATACATTTCTCTAGATATTGTTATAATTTGCTGCAGTTAGCAAATCTGGGTTTTTTTACAAATGTGAATACATATTTCTCTAGTGCAAGTGGCTTCACCATTTTATGCCTGGCTCCATAACATGACAATAAATGCCTTAGACACATTCTCCGCTAAAGTGGTACGATAGAATGCCAAATGAAACCTTGTGGACCAGAACAAATCAGAAACCAGTGGAGGTCCAGATTAAGAAGAGAAAATGGCAATGGGCAGGCCACATCCTGCATAAGGACTGTGAGGAATGTATCATGAGACAAGCGTTAGAATGGAATCCCAAGGGGAAAAGGAGATGTCCCGAACAAACATGGTGACAAAGCTTCCTGGACGAAGTAAAAGCAGCTGGCTTAATGTGGGATCAAATCAAGACTATCACGAAGGATCACAAGAGATGGAGGATGACTGTGGAAGCACTGTACTCTATTAGGAGCCCAAAGGACTAATAGATAATCCATAACAGCATTTAAATATGTTTGAAATTCAGATTTGAAATGGTCAATTTTCTTTACAGCATGGGAAAATTAAATGTAAATTTTACATTAAAGAGAAGATATCCAATGTCCACCAAAATCCAGTTTAAAACCATGTTGCATAAACACTTAGCTAGAAAACTTTAGACCTCCATTGTAAATCTGCGCATAGATTAATTATTACTCATTAAATTATTTATCTTGTGAATAGAAATGTGTCCTGTTGAAACAACTCTTACAGCTTTTTGGCAGTTCCCCAGAGAAGCCAATATTTTGTCAGTAACATGCTCAGAATAAGAACAGATATGATTTTAATAGCAGCTGTGGGAGTATTGCCCTGCATTCACCCAAAAGATAGCTTCAAATTGTTTTAGTAAAAGTAATTGTTTGCAGTGCTCAGTAATGTCAGTGACATTGATAACCAATTATATTGCCTTAGGTATTAGTATTATATAATCTGAAATTTTGGATGATCAGTCAGAGTAGGATGATATTGTGCATCCAAATTTTACTCCATCACCCAAAATAAATATTTGTTAGAAGAAAAACACAATTATTTAATTCTATAAAGAGCTTCTTTATTAGCTAGGTCCTACTGAAGAATATCTGTGCTCTTAGTAAAAGCTTATTTTTTATTTTAAAATCATGCATTTATATATGTTATGTACAAATACTGGTAAATACTCCCATCTGCTCCCCCAGCACAAGCTTATTTTACAGTAGCTGTTGTGCAATATTCTTGAGATTAGCGTTCCCTGCTCTCAATTTCTCAGTGTATCTTTAGTTCTGGTTTTCCCATTGGAAATGGAAGTATGAACTACTTACTACACCCCAAGTTATCAGGTAGTTATGCTGATGCATTATGTTGCACACATGAGCTGCACTAGCCATAGTATTACTTTATTGTGTAGCTAATGTGTTTGAGCTCTGGACTGTTTTGCAGAGAGTGGTGTATTACTGGACTGAATGAGAGCGATCCTGGAACAGATTTAGTTGAGTCTGATTATAGGACCCTCAACCTTTTATTTCTAAAGTTTCATTTACCACATTTTTA